TGGTATTTCTGGCCACTGTGTGATACAGAGTGTTGGACTGGATGGGCCTTTGGCCTGATCCAACATTGGCGTCTCTTATGTTCTTATGTTCATACGCTGCCACATGTTTTGTTAGACAGCCACTTTGGTGTTGGGGTTAGGAGCACGGACTCTAATCTGGGAGAACCGGGTTTGATTCCCCACTCCTCCATGTGCAGCTGCTGGTGTGACCTTGGGTCAGTCACACGTTCTCTCAGAGCTGTTCTCTCAAGGGCAGTCCTCGAAAGAGCTCTCTCAACCCCACCTACCTCACAGGGTGTCTGTTGTGGGGAGGGGAAGGGAGAAGAGATTGTAAACTGCTCTGAGACTCCTTTGGGTAGTGAAGGGCGGGGTACAAATCCAATCTCTTCTCTCTCTCTTCTCGCTACTGGACTGTTGCGCTTTCCTACGGATAAAAAAGTTAGACATCCTTAGTCTGATGGGGCCACTGCACCACAGGAAGGAGATACCATCGAGAAGAGGATACCAAGGTAGGTGGGTAGGGGAGGGGCTGGGGGAGGAGGAGGAGCAGAAAGATCCCATCATGCTCAAAATGGAGTCTCCCCCCGAAAAAAAAGGTTCCCAGAAAATCTGATACATTTATTTATTTAATTCATGTCTACCCCGCCTTCCTTCCCAATGGGGACCAAAGCCGCTCACATCATTCTCCTCTCCTCCCTTTTATCCTCACAACGACCCTGTGAGGTAGGTTAGGCTGAGAGATCGTGACTGGCCCAAGGTCACCCCAGCAAGCTGCTATGGCACAAGTGGGGATTCGAACCCAGGTCTCCCCGATACTAGTCCAACACTCTTAACCACTACACCACAATGGCTCTCTACATAAGAGGTCGGGGGGGGGGGAGTGGTACCATAGAAAGCCTTGAGGACTAGAATGCATCTCATTCATCACCCGACATCCGAAAGTACCCAGCCAGCCAGTTTGGTGCAGTGGTTAGGAGTGTGGACTCTAATCTGAGAGAACCAGGCTTGATTCTCCACGCCTCCACATGCAGCTGCTGGTGTGGCTTTGGGTCAGTCACAAGAAGAAGAAGAGATTGGATTTATACCCCTTCCTTCACTACCCAAAGGAGTCTCAGAGCGGCTTACAAACTCCTTTTCCCTCCCCCTCCCCACAACAGACACCCTGTGAGGGAGGTGGGGCTGAGAGAGCTCTGTCAGAAACTGCTCT